CATGCATGCTTAGGTAAGCACTCTATTATTGTACTACACCCCCAACCACTTTATCATTTTCCAGAAGGGGAAGAGATAATTTTCTGTGGGCATCCAGCAGGTAGAATCCAGGGTACCACATTGCACAGGGTAACTCCTTCCCATAAGTCCCCCTCCCTGCCCCAACAAAGAATTCTCCAGTCTGAGCCAGGTGTGATGGCTCACACCTATAATCCCAGCAGCTCAGGAGGCTGAGACAGGAGGATCATGAGTTCAAAAATAGACTCATCAGCTTAGCTAGACCCCAAGCAACTCAGTGAGACTCTATGTTTAAATAAAATACTTAAAAAGGGCTGGAGATGTGGCTCAGTGTCTGAAATGTCAGTAGTGTCAAGGTGGAGAAAACTTGCTCTATCAAATCATCTCTTGGTCAGGAACATTCTATTGTTTCCTGTTGCTTGTGAGAAAGATGGCAAATTTATGAACCCCTCTGATGTAGACGTGGTTTATTATTTGCCAACCATTGCTTCTTTACTAAAACAATTCTGAATGATATGCTGCTTCTGAAACCTGTCATCTGCTTTCTTACTCATATAACTTCCCTCACACTAACTACTCCCTCTGTCTGAGATGCCCACTTCCCACTTTTAAAGCTAAGTTTAAATGTTGTCTCCTCTATAAAGCCTTATCTGAGCCTGAATTCTCCTATCTACAAGTAAGTTCTCTTTTTCTCAATATTCTTATAATCTTTTCTCATATGTATCTTAAAGCACTTATATTTATAGTACAATGGAAAAATTGAATTGGAATGGGCTTTTAGAATTTCTTCAGTAAAATTTCTCCCATTTAAAGAAAAGGAAACAGGCCCAGAAATGTGATGTTATTGGTTGAAGGCATTGTACTTTCCCATAAAACGTAGACTATAATAATTTGTGTCCTTGACTTTGTTCTGACATTATTGAAATGGATAGCATTGAGATTTGAGCTTTGACAAAAGTCAAAGCTTCAAATGAAGCCTAGCCTTCAAAACTAAACTCTGACACTTTTAAGTAATAAGTTTCCTTTTTGACACTTACAAGTTTCCTTTCTGAAACTCACATCCCACCACCATATATGGAAATAATTATGACACTCATGAGAATCAAATGAGATTGTGTGTTCAAAATTCTTGGCACATAGCAGTCCCTCAATAACTATTTCTCAGAAGAATATAAAGATCAACAATACTTTGCTGGCATTTCCTAAAACACCATTAGAGGCAAAGAGTAGCAGTTCTTTGCCACTGCTCCTGTATTTTTCATCTTTCCATAGATAGATTCCTCTGTGGGCCATGAGATGAGTGTCCAAGCTTTCTGTGGAGTAGCTAAATACTGACAAGTGGAAAGATAGTTCTTTAAACATCTGATTTTACCCCCCCCCCCTTTTTGCAAAGCCAATGATGTCACTTCTCTATTCCCTTAAGCAGATAACAGGTAGTATTATGAGGAGAGAGTGGGACAAAAACTATATTTCTTCTATTTCTTGTTAGCTTCCAGAATGGAAGCATGCTAGGGCTTAGATGCTATTGAAAGGCCTAACAGGTGTGTCTGTGAGAGAAAATTCAATATGCACTTGGGGTAGCAATGGGAGCACTTTGGTGTTGGCTCATAGTGTAGTGGTAGCTGATTTAGTTTACTGAGGCCTTTTTTATCCAGCTTTTTACTTAAGAATTGTCCACTCTGTCATTTTCTTCCTGCCTAGAGCTTTGGGGTAATGGCATGCTACGGCACTCATTCCTTTCATTTAGAAAAATAAGTCTTTCCCTGGTCCCATGATGCATGTACCTACTAGAAATGCCCCTGCTACTCTAATGAGGGGATGACTTTAAAGGCAAGTGAGAAACAAAATGTGATTCCCAGTGCCTTGTCTAGACTACATTGGGAATGTGTTGAGGAGGAGGAAGTTGCTTGACAATGAGCTTATCTCAGAGGTAGCTCCTGCCTACTCTGTAATATAAGAATGGGTTTGGGTAGGAGGGGCTATAGGGAAGGCCAAGAAGGTCTATATAAATTGATTTAGGAGCTTCCTCTGTAGAGCGTACAGATCAAAGGTCCAGTAGGAGAAAAATGTTTGTTGGAAGGATGAGAAAACCAGTAGGGGGCAAACCACTGGATTGGGAGTAAAGGGCTTTTCTCTGGATCCCTGCTTTTACCTCTTCTTCTTCTGAGAAATTTCCTAGAGCTATTCTTAAGCCTCATATTCCAGTCTGTAAAGGGAATACGATAAAGTCTACAGTCTTCCTCCCAATGATGACAGAAATTAAGGGTTTGTAAATCTCCAGAATTTTCACTCTGTGAATCCCATAGCCATTTTACAAAAACATGTACTTTGAGTGTGTGTGTGTGTGTGTTTAGGGAGAGATGCAGTAAGAAGGAGGATGCAGATCTATTGGCTGATGACTTCAATACGGTATTCTTCAGTCTACTCTTCCCAGAGTCTACCATGTTCATATTGAGGCCACTTTGGAGATAGTTAGATTCCTTTCTCAAAGGAGGCTGCTCTTTTAAATATGTCCTTTCTCTGGGGTATTTTCATTGTTTTCATAGTTATTGAATTTTCACCATGATTTTGAGTGGGGCCACAGGAATTTATGGAAGTTGTATGACTATCCAGGTCTATTGGTAAAGTACTATCTCCTCAGAAAGAATAACCCTTTACACTTTCATAGGAGAGGTTAATGGATATGTTCTAGTACAGAAATGAGGATAATGATCCTATAAGAGCTTCTGATGAAGGAATTTTACTTAGAGAAGTCAGAAAAGGTTTCACAGATAAATTAATGATTGTTCTGAGCTCTTAAGAATAATTGACAAGGGGCTGGGGTTTGTAGTTCAGTGGTAGAGCACTTACCCAGATGTGTGAGGCACTGGGTTCGATCCTCAGCACCACATACAAACAAATAAACAAAATAAAGGTATTATGTCCATCTACAACTAAAAATATTTTTTAAAAAAGAATGACTAAGCAAAGAGAGTGATGGGAAGTATAGGTATACATGTGGACATTCAGTAAGCATTTTACAGATGAAAGATAATGTGAATAGGCCTTATGGTGGAAAGGTCCATGACACATTCTAGAAACAAATAGAATGCTACTTAACTGGTTTCACAACGTTAATTCAAAATTTAAACCAGAGTTTTGGGTATTTAAAGTCTAATATGCAAGAGTACCCAGCTTCAAAGTACTGTTAGGCTAGATCGCACATATTAAATTATACCCACTGGGGGAAAGCACATGAAGCATTATCAAGAAAAGAAACAATCTGGAATGGGGGAAACGACAGATGAAAATATGTGAAATCTGAATATTCCTCCTAATGTTTTGCTTCACAGCTATGTATGAGGTATATGGACAGATTCCTAGATAGCTCCTTTGTTGAGGTGACTTGAGCACACTGAAATAAATCAGGGAAGACTTCCAGCAAATGCCAATTACTAAACAGTGTTCTATAAAAGATATGGATTAGTGAATAAGGAGAGAAGGTGTTTCTGGCAGAAGAGACAGTATGAGTGGTGACTTGGTGTGGTACAAAGACTATTTCTGAGGTGGGAGATTTGTGATAAATTAGATCGACATGAATGGAAAAGCAAAACAGCCTCACTTGGGGCCATCTCAGAGTCTTTCTATGACACATCAACTAGTCAATTAAAATGAGAAAAATTAAGGTTCACTGGGTACAATGAGAACAGAAATAATTACTTATTTGGTTGAACTTAAACTTTAAAAATAAATTGTCATAAATCTCAGTCTTGTCATCCTCAACTGAGTGTAGTTAGATGTAGCTTTCTGCAAGACTGTGAGAAGGTTGCTGCCTACCTCTCTTCTTAGGACCTCTCTGAAATTTTATAACTGGGCACCTACCAAATTTCTGGAGTACTGTTTGCTTATGCACTTTATTTTAGCAGTTAGTTACTCTGATACCTCATAAAATAATAGCTTCAATATTCTCTGAGCTTCAACATTTTTTTGTAAGATTGCTGAAAAAACCACAAATCCTTCAAACAAAGGAATCTACCTCTGATAAGATGGCAGGTGGTGAGGTGGATGTATGTGAGCAGATGCCCTTTCCCATTACTCTTCAAATCAAAACTCTCTTAGAAGCTTGGCTTTGGTTCCAATGTATACCTCCCCTCCCAAGTGTTGAAAGGCTAAATTAGGTGACAGACATGTAGAAAGAAACAAGGGATTTGATTTTGTCTGTCAAATCTCTTGATTACTCAGCATATGGCTCTTTGAAAGCAGCCCATGTGCAAAGGTATATCACTGAGGTTAAAAGTGTGGAGTTTTTGCTGGGTGTGGCAGCACATGGTTGTAATCACAGCTACTCAAGAAACTTTGGCAGGAAAATTGCAAGCTCATGGAAACCTAGCAGGACCGTCTAAAAATGAAAAATAAAAAGGACTGGAGATGTGGTAGAGTACCCCAGAGCTCAATCCCCAGTACTCCTCACAAAGGTATGAAAACATGGAGTCATCATGCACCATGGCTCATATCCTGACTGCCACTTTCTAGTTGAGAGATTTTTTTTTACAGTTAGTTGAATATGTGCCTTGCTTGCCTCATCTTTTTGTAAAACACAAATAATAAGAGTTCCTATATCATACATTCACTGTGATGGTCAAGGAGATATATGTGTAAACAGCTTAGCATAATGTTTGGCATTTGATCAAGTTGTTGTGGTCATCATTGTCATTAGCAGCATTGCCACACTGTCATCACCAAACACCCCTAGTTTAACCCTCTAACAGGAAAATAAAATCTTGCAGTCTCTTGCTAAAGAAGAAACCTGTAGTCAGCAAAGAATGCAAAGAGGAAATGGGAAACCCAGTTGCATTCACTATTTCCTGCTCTCACCCTAACCATATTCCAAAGAGAATCTATGATGACTATACTTTCAAGGATCATTTCTATAGTTTGTTACCAAGGAGAATGCATGAGAAGAAGACAACCCAAGCCTTATGTCTCTGTCTCTGTTTCCACAGGTACCTGTCGCCTTGGCTGGGCCTATTACTGTGCTGGAGGTGGAGCAGCTGCAGCCATGTTGATTTGCACCTGGCTCTCTTGCTTTGCTGGAAGAAACCCCAAGCCAGTCATGTTGGTGGAAAGCATCATGAGGAACACCAATTCTTATGCTATGGAGCTTGACCATTGCCTAAAACCTTGAGCTTTGAAAGAAGACTGGTTGGAGAGGGTGGCAAAGGGAAGGGAAGGGAACTCTGAAAAGAAGTACTAAGACTAAGCCAGTTGGCACCCATCTGCCAGTAATATAGGCTAGTGTTTGCATGTTTTTTTTTAACCCACCTGACATTCATTTTCTTTTTTTTCCATAAGCCAGTTGGCCTGTAGCTATTTAAAAAACTCATCTACAGCAATGATTTTCTCAAATATTAATCCAACTAAGGTATTTTACAGACCTCCAAGTCCCAAAGTTTTCCTTTAAGCAAAATAAGGAGAAGCTCTCCACCTGAAAGGTAATTGCACAATCAAGCAGTCCTTCAGAATTCTGTAACTCCTGTCTTCCACTTACCTTAAAGCTTAAAGGCTGAGTAAGAATAGTTGTACAGTGAGGGACCAGGAGATGGACAGGGCTGGTTCTTATCACTCCATTTATATGGCCCTTTCCTTGATATTTTTGCCGCTGTTAAACATCTCTGGAACAATGTTGCCCAAATTGTTTTGACTTTCTCACATGTATACCTTCTGTATTTTTTCCTTTCTAGTTGTGGGGAAGCTTGGTGGGAAGGCAACTTGCAGTGGTGAAAACATTAATTAACGATGTTTGCATATAGTCTGGGACCCCTTCTGCATATATGCATTAGAATATTCATAGGAATTCATTTTGTGTTCTATTTAAGTGATTGGCATTAAAATATAGTGGCAAGTATTCCCCAATCCCTTATAGATACAGAAATGATGTTCATCAAATGTTCTGAGACTAACATTCGTTGGGCACTCAATAAATATGAATTCAGAATGATGATGACAAGGATGTTTCTGCTGGATCCTTATTGAAATTTCTATCAGAGTTCATTATAATTGACTAGGAAATCCGCAGTAGCATTTGGCCCCTGTAATCACTCCTAGCGTGATACAAGTTTCTCCGCCTATTTCAATGACTGCTCATCAAATGATCTCTCCTCCATCTGGGGTAAGTTAGACATGAAAGAACACAGCCCTGATGTCACCTAGGGATGATTTATTTTTAGCCCTGGCCTCTATCCCATCTGTGCTCAAGGCTGACTGATGGTGTAGAAGAACTTGGTGTCTCCTGGGGGCAAAATTAGTCTCACCCTCTCCCCCAACCCCAGTTAATTCAGGCCAGCTCTATCATTCCATAACTACAGTTTTAAGGACTGGGGAGGGCCTGTGACTCAAGAGGCCAGCTCATCTGTTTCTATTCTTAATCATTTCAGCTTGATTTGGGTACAGCCCTACCTCAAGGGAGAGGAATGGAAAAACTGGCTTCCTGAGTTATATTCCATCCCCCAAGGAGTCAGCATTCTTATATTGTCCTTGTGTAAGTCAGCAAATTCAAATACAGTGTACTCGGGCACAGTTCATTCATTCACTTATTCATGGAGTCAGGAAATATTTCTTGAGAATTTCACTATATGCAAAAGTACAGAGGCTAAAAAGATGAAGACACAGATTCTCACCTTAAAACGAACAGTAGTGAACTAGAAAAGTGGAGAAGGGGAGGGTAAAGAATCACAGGGGGACCACAAAACCAGCTTGAGCATTGGGGGATTCATGAGAAAGATTTCTAGAAAAGACAATACTTAGGATGAGTCTAGGAGATAAATACGGGGAGTTAGTGAGCAAAGGTAAAAAGTGCACTGGACAAGGAGCAGTGTAAGCAAAGGCACGGGGACACCACGAAGATGATGATCAGGTATGAAAGGGGAGGTGACAGAAGCTGAAGCTTAAAAGGGACTCGGTAGCCAGATTCTGTAGAACCTTCTACTCCCAGGACAAAGAGTATAGATTTTATCCTAAAAGGCCACTCAAAGAGAAGTGATATGATCATGTTTGTGCTTTTCCAAAGACCAGTTTGGCTACAGTGATGAGAATTAAAGAGAATAGGGAGAGACTGGAGATATTTTCATAATCTAGGTGTAAATGGATCAAATTCTCAACTCAGGTATTAACTGCGGGGCTGGAGTAGATGGATGAATTTGAAAGAAAATACAGGCTGAGCATCCCTAATATGAAAGTATAAAATCCAAAATGATCCAAAATCTAAAGCTATGCCATTGTCATGTCCATGCTTGGAAGGTTTCAGAACACTTCAGATTTTGGATTTTTGGATAAACAATGTTCAACCTATAATATCTGCAAATATTGCAAAATCTGAAGAAAAAACAACTTTAGATTCTGAAACATTTTTGGTCTCAAGCATTTTGGATAAGGGATACTCAGCCTACCTTCAGGAAGTTAATTCCACGGGATTTAATATCTAAAGGACAAACACAAATGAGGGCAAGTGAAGATTTTGGGATAACATCTCTGGTACATGGTACCTTATACCAAGATGGGGAATACAAGAGGAATAGTGCAAAGGAGGAAAGTGGTTATTGAATTCATGTCAAGTATTATCTCCCACTTAGAAGTGAACTAAGTAAGGTAAGGCAAGTTGAACATACCTCACTGGAAGGGAAACAACGTGATTGGGTGTATAGCATCTCCTTTCTCTAAGAAACATGACGAAGAATTGCTGAAATAAATTGGAACTGAGTCAAGATGAATTTTTATATCATAGACACAATAATGCAACTTTGATTTACGAGAGCAGAGTATGTGGTGAATATGTGAAATGTTTGGGAAAGGGCAGATCACTTTCTTTAGATAAGGTAATTTGGCTAGGTGATCTTTCTTCTCAGACTACGGAAGCTTCTGGATTTCTAAGGGAAAGAATTTGTTGAAGTGAGTGCATACATCAGACTCCTGGCAAGAAACAGATGGTATATTCAAGGAGTTTAGCTGAGATGAGTTTAATGCAGGAACCATTTATGGTAGTGTGCTTGGGGTTAAGGGAACCTACCAGTAATGGTTAGGCTTAGAAAGACGATGAATAGTTCACTCTGAATGACCCACGCCTTCCAGTCCTGAAGCAAGAGGCTCTGACCAATCACTACATTTTGTGATGATTTGGGTGTTGTCCCAGCCCAGGAAGTAGAAGGCGTGCCTTCAGGTGTAGGCATGTCACCGGTGGGGTTGAGCTACACTCACCTATTCTTTTGTAATCCTACCCCTTTGCCCTGTTTGGGATAGAATGTTCCACGGAAGCTTCCTTTGTGTGTCCACTTCTCTTCCTCTGCCTTTGGGTGCAGCCTTCCTAGTTGTCAGTCAATCTGCTGACAGCAGACATCAGAAGGCTAGATTCAATTCCCTGAAACCTGACCCCTTGCCTCATTTGAATGGCTTCTCCCTAATAAAAAAAAAAAAAGTTCAGCATGTGCTCTCTCTCTCTCTCTCTCTCTCTCTCTCTCTCTCTCTGGACCCTTAAGGTCAGAGGAGCCATCACAGGACCCAAAGAAACAGGTATCTCTGTCTCTTGTGTGATTATTTCATGCAGCCCAGTTCACTTAGAGTGACCCTAAGTGTTTTAGTCATGAGAAACGAGACAAATAGTGGATAAAGAAAATGTGGTATAAATGTGCAATGGAATATTACTCAGCCATAAAAAGATTGATTTTATAACATTTGTGGTAAATGGATGTATCTGGAGACTATCATGCTAAATGAACTAAGCCAGTCCCCAAAAGTCAAAGATTGAATGTTCTCTTTAGTATGCAGATGCTGACACAGAATAAGAGGGGAGGGGAAGAATAGAAGTTCATTGGATTAGACAAAGGGGACTGAAGGAAAGGGAAGGGGAATGGGAATAGGAAAGACAGTAGAATGAATTGGACGTAGCTTTCCTATGTTCATATATGAATACACGACCAGTGAAACTCCACATCAGGCACAACCACAAGGATGGGATCCTGATTAGAGTAAGTTATACTCCATGTACGTATAATATGTCAAAATACACTCTACTGTCATGTATATCTAAAAAGAATTTAAAAAACTAAAAAAGAATATAAAGAGTGCGGAACCATCATCTTCTCTATGATGGCAGGAGCAAGAGGAAGAAACGATATTACTGAAGCCATCAAGAGCTGTAGCTGTGTGAGAAGGGCTGCCTGATACACGTTGTAGCTTTGGGTACCAAAATACAGTCTTTATCCAAATTCCACACAGTAGTGAAGGAGAGAGGGGAATAAATACTCAGATTTCACTCTTTTCCTTTTTTTCTGATCTTCTGCATGTGTCCACCATTAGCCAGACCCAGGCAGATGCTAGCTAGCAAAAAGCATTTTGCTACAGTCCATTGAGGTCAGTCTCTTTTAGCACAGAGCTTGGTAGGAAAAGGCAGAGAATGGAGCTTGGGGAGATGAGGGAAAATGGAAAATAACAGCTCAAGTGTTCTTATCCCTCCTTACTACCATTGCCTTAAGTAGGGCTTTCCAAGAAGTATAGCTTTTGATGCCCTCCCTCGATCAGATACCTAAACACACTAGGAAGCACTTATACTCTAGAGGGAAGACTAAGAAGGTGGGGGCTGATTTGAAAGAACCATTTAAAATGACTTTTACCTCACAGATAGAAGGTAGTTTGAATATTATCTTTTTCATAGGGAAAAGGGACCAGATTTAAAAGGGATTTTTTCCCTTGAAGAAACCAAGCCTGCAGGGGCTTATATTCAAAGAGGGACCAAGACCCATGTTCAGTTTGAATTTAAATTCCTCACTGCCTGTGTCTGGTTTCTTTCCTGCCAAGCCTTGTTTTGGCATAAATGTCTGGCTAGCCTAGTTTTTTATCCCCTGTGGCCCAGAGCAGACTCTTGGAAGGTAAATATACTTCTTCTGGCTGCTGCTGTTCAGAGAGGAAGGAGAGCCCATGGGTCAGGTAGAAGGTTGAATGAGTGAAGTGAGGGCCTCAGACACTCTGTCGTTTGTCCCAAGTCTGGCTGGCTGACATGCTCCCCACCTGTGTGTGCAGGCTGAGTGCCTAACCATGGGTCCTTTATAACTCTGGCACCACTTCCATCTTGGAGAAGGAATGATAGGTGGGAGGCTATTCATTTGGCCTAACTCAGAGTTGATTAAATATTTCTTGAGAGCTCATTTAGCAGGACACTTCTTTCAGAAAAAAATACTGGAAGGGTAACAACTTCCCAGGTGGTATGAATTTGTATCTAGAAGGTTGACATTTCTATACCTTGGTGGCAAGTGTTAATTCAGATCTGTTTTGGGTGATGCCCTCTAATGTCTCCCTTGCTATCTTCCTCCAGGTGAATAGCTGCCTACATTCACTAACAACTGCTGGTGACTTCATGGCAATGGATTCCCACTTTGTGGGAAGATGTGCCCCAAAGAAAAGTAGAAAGTCTCTGGTTTCTGGGAA